TTGGCGGAGGCGGAAGACCTCGATAGAGGGCAGGCAGCCGCATGCCAGCGGGGTGACGGCCCCAAATCGCAACGAGATCGACGTCGAGGCCGGCCCCTGCGGGCTCGTTCAGACTTGCAAGAGCAAGCCAGGCGCCGCAGGCCATAAAGAGGAGCGCAGATTAAAATGGCGCCGCAGGCTCCCCGGTCCGTCCGCGCACAGACCACAGGAAAAAACAAAAATCTATAAAACATCTATCAACACCACTAGGCTCTAGGGGGTGGGTGGGCTCCGATCTCCCCATCTCCAATATTCTCTAATCCACAGCGTCGTCATCTTAGGCCGGGGATCCAGTCAGATCTCCGATCTCCATCTTCAATCTCCAATCTCCAACGTCGTCATCTTAGGCCGGATCAGATCTCCGATCTCAATCTCCAATCTCCAATCTCCAATCTCGATTCGGCCGGGGGAGGAGGGGGGCTCAAACCTTCAAGGAGATGCAATTTGGATTCATTCACACTGACCATCTCTCATCTCCAATCTCCAATCTTCTACTTGGCCACTGTCGCCGCCGGCAGCAATCTACGACCTCCATTTTCAATCTTCGATCTCACATCTGGGGCGGATGGCTGGGCGCTAGGATCTACAATCTGCATTCTCCATCTCCTATCTCCACATTTTGGCCCTGTTGCTGCTCAGAGCGATCTGCAATCCACAATCTCAATCTTCGATCTTTAGTCTTGAATGGGGAACCGGACAGGACGGATCTACTGGCGAGACTTGGGCGTGTCCGTGTGAGAGATCCGCTAGGATCTCCAGTCTTAATCTACATTCTCTACCCCGGAACGATCTACGGCTTTACTGGTCTTGCGCAGAGATTTCCATTACTCCCCGGCGGGCCGGGCGGAGTAATCGATATCTCTACCGTCTAAAGGGTGTGGGTTGGCCCGCCGCACGACGCACACGTGCCGCAGTGTGGAACACCATTGGAACACAGACACGCGAGCGAGACACAGTCACGCAAAAAAGTAGTCATGTCATCCTCATGTCCTCAAGTCATAGGCACATCACTTACGGGGTTGGCGATTACGTTTTACCGGAGAGCTCCGGACTACTTTGGACCGCACGTCGGCTTTAGGTAACGAGCAAAATACAAGGGGTGGGGGCGGCGGGCGCGCGTAGCGCGCAGCGCCCCGTCTACGCTCCCTAGCTCTCCTCCAGCACCTCCTCCACGAGCATCCGATGCGCCTCCTTGTTCAGGATGACGCCCATGTGGTCGGCGTTGGCCACGGTGTGCAGCGCAAAGCGGCCACGCGTCAGGCTCGCCCAACCGCGCATCTTGGCGCCCGTCTCTCCGGCGGGCGCCTCGCCCGCCGCGGCGAGCGCGACGATCGGCAGGGCGAGCGGCGGCGGCGAGGGTGGCTCCACGCTGCCGAGCGCGGCGACGATGTCCGCCTCAGCGCAGAGGGCGATTGGCGAGCCGTACAGCTCACGCGCGAGGCCCACCGTCTCTGTGACGGGCGGAGGCCAAGCCGCCTCGGGCGAGCGGGCGTGCGGCGCGAGCGAGCTCGACCGGTACGCCGCGACGAGCCCGCTGAGGATCGCCGGCCCGGGCAGCGCCACGAACTCGCCCGCCGAGCAAACGCCCCACACCTCCTGCAGCAGCAGCGACTGAGGCCCATGCGGCGGCCTGCGCGCCACCACAAGCAGCTTGCGCACGCGCGGGCCGAGGGCGCGCGCGAGACCGTACGCAGCGACCGCGCCGTGCGAATGGGCGAGCAGCACCACCGGCCGAGCGCTCCCCGCCGCCTCCTCCACTTGAGCGGCGAGGGCGGCGATGTACTCGTCAAAGGTCTTGCACGCCGGGTGCGAGGTGTGGTGATCGAGGACGAGTGAGTCCTCGACGCCGGCCGCCCTGGCCGCGGCAAGCACGCGGCCAAGCAGGCTGCGTCCCTGCGAGGGAGTGAGGCCGGCGGAGTAGAGCGCGACGAGCAGCGGCGAGGGCGGCAGCACGCCGCCGCCCTCAAAGAAAGTGACCGCCTTGTCGCGGTCCCAGAGCCGCATCCGAGGCAGATCGATGGGGACGTCATCGGCCAACGCGTCCGCCTGGATCTCCTCGAGCTGCTCCAGGGTGAGCGGCATGCTTGGCGCGCAGCTGCGTCAGCGTCGGCCCGCGGCGCAGACGGCGAACTGCGCCACGGCTCCACGCCCAATGGAGAAGGAAGCCGCGGGGCCGAACCACTGGGAGGGCGCCTGGGCTAAATTTAGTGCGTGTGTTTAGTGCGCTATTTAGTGTGTGTTCGAGTGCGTGTGTAGTGCGACTTTAGCGCAAATTTAGCGCAAATTTAGTACATATTTAGCACATATTTAGCACATATTTAGCACATATTTAGCACATCAGACTCGGTCGAGAGACCCCAGATTGGCATCCATGCCTTTCTGGACAGGGTGGCCCGCCACAACGACCCCTGGAATTGGACTCGCCGCTTTCCTCCCGCTGTGATCCTGTGTGAGCTCTGTGTCTTGTTTGCCAACAACATACCTAAGACATATTTAGCACATATTTAGCACATATTTAGCACATATTTAGTGTCTTTTATCTCCAATTTAGCGCCACATTTAGTTCACTTTAGGTGCGGGCAGCTGCAGTACATTTAGTGTGGGTCCCGCATCTTTAGTGCGGGCACGCAACTTTAGCACGGCTTCCCAGCCACACCACAGCTGGCCAGGGCCGCGTGCTTTGCTCCTTGGCTGCCAAGCAAGAATGCACCACAGGAGATGCCTGGCCCCTGCCCTCATGCTTAGGCAGGCTCCCAGTGAGGCTAGATATGCAGCCCTCCAGAGCAAGATCTCCCGACTGAGCACAGGCACATAACCGATTCCCGAGAGGAGGTCCATCCAGCACCTTGGTCGACGCCGGCAGGTTGAGCGTGCCCGTCGCCTCTCCCTGCTGCCACGGCAGCGCCACCATCGTCTGCTCGGCCGTCTCTGCCATCGCAGTAAAGTCGTTATGTTCACGCCCCGCTTCCCGGCAAACGTTTTGCCGCTCGGCGGGCCCGGAGAAGCAGCCCGGAAAGCACCGAGGTTGATATTCAGCTGATTACCTTCGTTCGGTTGGGGACGGGACGGGGAACTTTTGCGTGGGCAGGGAACTGCAGGGGGAGAGGGGGGAGGGAGGCCCAGCGAGGGGCTGCGGCTGGATCCTACTGCGCGGCTGGACTAAAGACGCACTAAACCTCGCTAAATCTGGATGTAAAGTCGCAGTGAACTCGCGCTAAATTTGCGCTAAATTTGCGCTAAATTCGCGCTAAATTTGCGCTAAAGTTGCGCTAAAGTTGCGCTAAATTCGCGCTAAATTCGCGCTAAATTTGCGCTAAAGTGCGCTAAAGATGCAGTAGATAAACACTTCGCACCGCACTAAATTTAGACCCAGGCGCCCTCCACCACTGGGGCCCCTCCTGGTCGTGCCCACCCCTCGCACGACCCCGGGCGACAGCGGGGGACCCCGCAGCGGCAAACGCCTACTTTTTCACGGCCAAATCACGCTTCGGTGTTGAGTGATCTGTGATCTGTAAGGGTCCGCCCGCAGGCGCATTTTGTATACCGAGGCGGTGCCCGGTGCCGAACCTGTCGGACCTTAAGACAGCATTGTAGATCCCTGGGCGAGGGTGGTGGCGTCCCCGTCGGGAGGGGCTGTCTGGCGGAGGAGAGCAACCAGGTGCCCGGCGGCGTCCCGCCACATCCGGATGACCTCTCCTCGTTGTGCCAGTCAGCCCCGTTGGAGGTAGACCGCTCGTCTAGCCAATCAGCCTTAAGCGAGCGGTCTGGCCGTTGGAATGGCCGAGTTTGGTGGACTTGCGTCCTCGCATCGATCGTGGTTACAAGTAAGTAGCCTTATGACTTATGAACAGAACACCCACCCTGAACCACGTTCATCGGGAGGGGGGAGGTCTATGACCTACCTAATTGTCCGGCATGCGAGGGCATGCTCGGCCGTTCGGAGTCCCCCCTTTCTTGTCACCATTCTCTCGGTTAGCGTCTGAACTTGACGGGTGGCTTCCGGTGCGATCCCTGCTTCCGCTGGCGTTGGCGCTGTCTCTGTGCCTTCGTTATCGGCTCCTCGCCCTCGTGATGCTGCTGGCTCGCCCCCCCTCCCTGACTCATCGAATCGCTACGTTCATTCTCAAAGCGCCCTCGCTTCCTCGGCGGCTGGGGCGCCTCGTCCTCTGGCTGTTCCTCTTCTACGTCCATCACTGTGAATTCGTCGTCTGTCTGCATCTTCGTCGCCGTCGTTGGCGTCTTCCGGGTGTCTGTGTCCGTCCCCGCCGCTGCCTCCTTGTAGGCGCTGTTCACGGGGGCGCGGTCATGACGCCCGAGCTCGCGCCGAAGTCCACCCTCCAAGAAGAAGGAAACCTGTGCCCGCAGTCGGGGCTCTCGCCCCCCGGTGTGAACATGAACACGCCGTGGTGGGAGGGCGCTGGCGCCGCCCCCCACCCCTCGCAGCAACGCAAGGGAGGGATGGGAGGACGGCACGCCGCCACCACACAGGACAAAGAAAGAAGGAAAGAAAACAGACAACCCAAGGGAGGGATGGGAGGACGGCACGCCGCCGCAGGACAGGTCCAGACAAGCAAAAAAAACAGGGCAAAAAAGAGACTTTTTTCGGCGACCGATAAATGCTTCGACTCGGACTCGCTGGGGCCACGCGCCGTGCGGGCGTCGCGCGCGCCGCGTGCGCCGGGGGGGTCGGGCTTCCAGCCCGGCGGGGCATGGCGAGCGTCCCGTACGACAAGGTTGTGTGCGAGCGCAAGACCACCGACGACTCGATCAAAAAGTTCTTCCGACTCACGATTGAGTCGACGATTGTCGCCACCATCATGGCGTTTTGGTGGCGCTCGTCGCACAACGCGGAGAAGGAGAAGATCAACCGGTACTACGCGACCCTGCGCGCCGAGATGGCCGCCGCCCGCGCCAAGGAGGAGGCGGAGGACGACGAGTAGTCGTGACCGGGGGGCGTGAGCGGCTTTGCAAATGGGGGAGGGGGGGGAGGGAGAGGTGGGGGGGTGGGGGTGGGGGGGTGGGGGGCGGTTGGGGGGGCTGCCACCGCGTCATCCTCGTGGACGCTCGCGCGTGTGCGTCTCCGGCCTGTCGCCCTACCCCCCGGGCGCGTGTCCCGCTGCGCCGCGGTGCCGTCACGCAGTTTGGCTACTCCTTCTCTATGCCGGGAACGCTTAAAAAGTGAGTGCTCTGTGTCACTTTTTTGGAGTAGATCGTGCCGACTGCCGCGACAGCGTTTTTCGAACCATTTTTTGCACGTCTCACCCCGAGCGCGCTGGGGGCGCTGGCGCCTTCAGCCTTCTGGTTCTGGCACCAGCGGGGGAGGCACTCCCAGGCACGAGCGCGCACCGCCGCGCTCCCCCTCCCCCTCCTCGCCGCCTGCCAAATCACCGCGGCCGTCTGCGCCTGCTTCCGAGTATGACTCCGAGCTCGAATTTTCCGACGCTGAGGCGCGGGATAGGGTGGCAGGGGTTGTACACGACGCAGTGCAGCAGGCTGTGATGCAATACGGCTATGACGACGAGCTCTACCAGGCATGGAGGGACGGCGAGATAGGCGAAAAGGACTTGCCGGAGGAGGTGATGGCTATGACTTTGGACCTTTGCGAGAGGTGGCGAGCGGAGCAAGAGCGGTGTAGGCGCGTCCACGCGGCGCAGCGGCTCTCCCGCGACCCCGCTCCCAGGCCCCTCTCGTAGCCGCAGCCGTAGCCGCAGCCCCAACTCTTGCCGCTCTTCCGTGTCGGGTTGTGACGAGGGGTGAGGGGACACGGATTGAAGATCCCTCACACCAAGATCGTGCAGGGCGGGGACACATGTCCCTAAATCCCATCTCGTCTCAGAGTTTGACCGTTTTATTTATTTATTTAATTCACCCCCCGCGGCGCACCCCTGCCGGCCCACGCCTCTCACACGACACACGAGACACGTGAGACGTGTCACAAGTACGCAGACTTGCGGGTTGGGGTAGTGACTTGGACGGTTTGTGGAATTTGATATTTGTGCGTCACCGACACGCGTCGGTCGCGACCTACGCGCCGGCGCTCGGCGCACCCAAGTCCAAGCTGGAGTTGATCGTTGCTTCCCTTTCGCGAGGCGGTGCGGACTGCCGGAGGCCTCGGTCTCCCCTCTGCCCGTGCGACTTTCGCTAACTCCCTCGAGCGTAGATCGTCTCTCTTCGGCGCGCTCGAGCACGTTTGGCACCAAGAGGCTTTGATTCTTACGACCCTCACCCGCCAAGGCAGGTGTGCACTCTGCTAGTACTTGTGTGCTCACACCACTACACTGTGGGGTGTGCCCGAGCATGATGTATGTGCGCGTCTGTGCATGTGTGGGACAGACGTTGTTGTCCTATCACCTATGCGCGGGGCTTCCCGCGGGGACCGAAGACGTAACAGCAGCAGCAGCAACGACACGCGACACGTACGTGGTACGAAAATCGGATTATTAAATCGAGAGGTTGAGGTACGAACCACAGTCGTTTGAGATGATCGCCACCGATCTAGAAGAAGAGAGAGTACACTAGAAGCAAGATGATGCGCATGAACCAACAATCTATACTGAGTACTGTCTACACACGTCACACGTGTGTGTCGGAGTCGGTGTGAGGGTTGTGTAAGTTGCCTGATAAAGCCGTATATCCCGTAACCCTAACGTAACCCGTAGGGCGTAGGGGGGGGGGGGGATGGCCTTCCTCCGCCCGCCTCTGTGAGCTCTGAATACTTCTGACGAGACGCTACTATGTTCTTGTGGCAAAAATGGGTTAACCCACCTGTAACGTGTAACCTCTGTACATCGAATTCCGCTACACCCTACACGCACGCACAAGGTTTTGCCAACCGTGGACCGGGCGCGCCTCGGCCGCCCCATCAAGCCGCCCACGGACAGCCCCCGCGCACGCGCATATCTGCGCAGGTCGGCGATCGGGCACGGTCCTTGCACGAACTGCGGCAAACGCCCAATACGAATCGCCCGGCAACGCGCCAACGCCGAGGCCGCGGGAAGACCACGCTCACGCGCGCCACTTGAACGGGTAGTCCGCGGGCCGTGGCGGTCAGGCGCGGCTGCGCAGGAGTGCACGCTCGCGCTCAGGCGAACAGCGCCGCGCGCAGCTTCGGGAGGCGGGTTTCGTAGGCGAGCATCAGCCGTGACTGCAGCGTGTTAGTGAGCGAGATCTTGCCGCCAAAGCCGGAGACCTGCGCAGTGGGGGCAGGGGAGGGGGGAGATGAAGGTACTGGTGCAACCGCTGCAAGCACAAGGCGCGGACACATGCACTCGCTAGAGGAGAGAGGGGGGCGGAGGGGGGGGGCGGGGGGGGGGGGTACAGTAGAGTGGGGGGGGGTGCAGCAGAGGTCGTGGTTGTGCCGCCACCGAAGACTGTGTTACATGTCTGATCTTCTAGAGCCTGGGGCCTCGACGCCGCCGATGCCGGCGGCGAGCGGGGACGAGTCCCACGCAACCTCGATCGAGGAGGCGAACGCAGCGTCCTTGTTCTTGGCGGCCCAATCCTGGCAAAATGAGGGGAGGGGAGGTGTGCGGTGAAATATCCACACGCAGTGCGTCTACGGCGAGCCCCGTTTTCCCACCCTCGCTTCCCCCTGTCCACGGGACAAGCAGGAACCCGGCGCGCATTCCTTCTTGCGGCCGCATCTAGTGGTGTATGGTCGCGCGGGAAACGTTCGAGGGCGGTGGGGGCTCGGAAGGGTCTCGGACGTGTCTCCGCGCCTTGTACTTGGCCGCAGCGGCAGTGCACGCCTGACCGCCAATACTACAGACATTTTTCTGGACACGGTTTGGAGGTGGGGGGGGAGGGGGGGAGGGGGGGGGGGGGGGGTTCTTGTGTTCCGCAAACGTGCGAGGGGTTCGGAAAGGCGGATGGGAGAGTGAGCGGCCGAGCACGACGTGCACGACGCCACTCTGGCTAGCGACACTCCCCCCAGACCTCGTTCGACTGCGAGATCCGCTTCTGAACCTCGATCTGCTTCTCCTTGCGCTCGTACTCTGCGCGGATCTTTGCCTTCTCCGCCTAGAGAGGTGGCGGAGAGGGTGGCAAGGGTTGGCGGCGGCGGCGGCTGCGGGGGGTGAAGCCGGCGGCGACGGCGACTGCGCAGGAGGATGGGCCCGCATGTGACGGACGGCGACGGCGCCTCCCCCGAGCAAGGGGCATCTAGCGGCTCTGGGCAGTGTGCAGTGGCCGATTGGGCCCGCGTCTGGCTCTGGGTAGGTGTAGCTCGGAGGCGTCCGCACACCTCGACCATCCGCAGCTTCTCAATGTTGAACTCCTCGTCCGCCTAAGGGGGATGGGTTCCGAGCAGGTTGCGGGGGCGTTCCGCCTTTTTGGTCCTCAACTGCTCGCCCGCCTTGAGCTTGATCTCGGAGGCCTTCTCCGCCGCCTCCTGGTGGATGAACTGCTGCATCTGCTTGATTTGCTGGTTGATCTCCACGTCGTTCATCTTTGAGGCTGGGGTGGAAGGAGTCGAAAGAGCAACGAGGGGACCTGCGTGCAAAGTATGTGTACGTTAAATGAGGAGCAGAGAGGTGGAGGGGGAGAAGGGGGCGGCGGAGGAGGAGAAGCGGGGATGATAACAAGCCCCGCCACGGCGGCAGCGGCGGCGGCGGCGGCGGCGGCGGTTGTGGCTACGCGGCGGATGAAGATTCACTGGTGAAGCGTTTGGTGCAAAACGCCCCGCCGTCGATTGACGCCGTGTGTGGCTGGGCGTCATGGAGCGGCGGGGCGGCGGGGCGGCGGGTGGTGGGGTCGGCTTCGCGCGTGCTACGAGGGGGCGCGGCTGTGCCGGTGCGCGCGCAGGGGCGCCGGGGGCAGGGAGCTGTGCACCGCGACACAGGTATGAGCGAAGGAATTCTTTTCACTTTTGAGCACTTGAGCACTGGAAAGGGTCGATTCCGCATGGTACGGGACCCCTCGATCGTCTCGCCCTCCCTCGCTGGTGTGCTCATTGGGGGGGGGGTCATAACAAACACGGTACAGGATCGAGTTCCCGAATCTTTTCACTCGAGTAGGGGGGCGTTCTGCGGCTGCTAGGGGAAACCCAAAGCGCGGAGCCCCCTCGGAGACAGGGAGGGAGGGTTGGCCTGTATCCATGTTTCCGGAAACCAGAAAGGAAACGAGAGGGTCCCCAGCACTTTGCGTTTCCGGAAATTTCCAGGGAAACTAGAGGGTGTTTGGTGCTCCATTCTGGCAACTCTCGAGTTTCCCTGAGTCTGAGAGCTGGTCTGGGGCAAAATCTGAGGTGCGGCGGTAAGTTTACAACAAAACTCCATCGCACAACACTGGGCACGGGACTGGCGCGCACTGGCACTAACACAGGTACACCAGTGAGCAGTGTGCGCCAGTATAGTAAAAAGAATTTTACAACAAAAGAATTTTAAACAAACAATGAGAACGCAAAGGAGGACGCGAGATACACTGCCTCCCCCTCGCTTTTGCAAAATCCTGCAAAGGTGGGGACGTGTCTAGAGTACCACCAGCCATCACTTTAGTTGGTATAAGAAAAAGAAAGTCCCGGAAAGTGAGAAATGCCGGGCAGCGTGGTGCATGACTTCAACCTCCCATACGTATTTTCGTTCGCTCCTCCCTCGGGCTGTTCCATCTTCCCATCTCCTTCCAACTCAGGCGAGACGTGGGGGGGCGTGGGTGCGGGGTGCGGTGCGGTGTGAGTGTGTGCATGTCATATGGCTACAGCAAGTGTCCATCCGTCTGTATTATTATCAACAACGAAGGCGCTCTCAAAAGAAAGAAAGAAAACTTTAGTTGGTATAGTACCCCACCTTCACCGATCGGTGATTTCTTTTTTTGTTTCCCATAAGTAAGGTAGGTAGGTAGGTAGGTAGGTAGGTAGGGGCAGGGCAGGGGCCGGCCAGGTTTTTGCAGAATTTCAGCAGGTAGGTAGGTAGAAAGGTGAAGAACAGCCAGGCTCGGACTGGACACCAACGCGGTATGGGTGGACGCTGGACAGATGATGACGACACGCACGAGCGACACACAGACACAAACAAGCTCACAAGACACACAGCCAGCTGGCTGCCACACACCCTGAGTTGGCGTACACATAACTCAAGGCCACATCCTCCCTGTCGCCCCCCCCAGCACTCCAAGGTGCCAAGAGAAACAAACAAGGGCACAACAAACAACAGACGACAGGAAGTGACATGTGAGGCTAGAGCAGCATGCTCCACCTCTAGCAATCTCTCCGGCCGGCGAGGCATGGGCGAGACCGTATGTGGGGTCTAGTGAGGTGTCTATATGGACGCCCTCCTCATGGGCTAGCTGCCTGCGGGAGGAACCAAAACAAAAATAATAAAAACACCTAACCACCCAAGACTGCTTTCAGACGCTTACGCCAATTTCCGCTCAACCTGCGCAAATCGTGACCCCCAGAACTCGTGATACCCGAGGAGTCTCGAGCTTCAGCTGGCGAATCATGCCGCTCTCGGCACAGAAGCAGCGCGAGCGCCGCGCCGCGCAGCGCGCTGCCGAGGCTCAGGACGCGGCTCGCGGGCAGCGCAACCGCCCGGCGCCGAGCCGGTGCTAGGCCGCCTCCGCTGCGCCTGCTTCCTTGCGCGCCGCTGGACGTCGGCCGAGAAGACCGCTTCCCTCTGGGGACCCGACTCCGCGAAGATCGCGCGCGCGTCGTGAGTGGCGGCGCGCGCGCGATCTCCGTTCCCGGGCACGCCGGTCGCAGTGGCATGGGCTCCCAGGCTCAAAAGCGCTCCCGCCAACAGCGAGCGAGCGCCGCCGCTGCTCCTCCTCCCGCCGCCGCTCACCGAGACTCGGTGCCGCCGTTCTCGCCGCCGCCGCCGCCGCCGCCGCCGCCGCCGCCGCCGCCGCCGCCGCCGCCTCGCGCCTCGCCTCCGTCACCGCCGCCCTCCATCTCGCAGGGTTACTTCCCCCAGGATTGGTCTTCTCTGCCTGCGGGAACACCCTCGGGCGGCCGGGTGGGGCTGCGGCTGGAGCTAGCATGGCTCGATAGAGCCGAGACCCCGTGTTGAGGCGGCGCTCCTGTGGGCGGCTGTGGAATCGGGAGATTCGACCTTAGATCTCCAGTTATCTCATCCCAGTGGATGGACGTCCGGACGTCCCTTTGTGTTCCTCTCGCCGTCCGCCAGCGAGACGCTCTGTCGCTGGCGACCGCAGTTTTCTGTGAGGTGGGAGGAGAGGAGAGGACGCAGTGAAGATGGCGCAGCAGCAGGCCCCGCCAGCTGCGCAAGCGCCCATCGTCGTCGTCGTTGACGAAGTTCAGATCACCAGTGATGCAGCGCTCGTTCTCGCTCCAGGGGCTCAGCACGTAAAGGACCACACGCCTTGTCTGAGTTGGACCACGGTGTACGACAATGCAGGAGCAGTGACCAACTACACCCTGGGGCAGAGTGACGCCAAGGGCGCCTTCCTGCCGCGGTGCCGGTTCAGCGTGGACCAGCAGACAGGCACCCTCCTCGATGGGAACCACGTTCTCAATGTGCTTTTCAATGGGGCATTCTGGTCGCGGCTTCTGACCGCTCTGGACGCGGCGAACCTCTTTGCCACTTCCATGGAGAAGATCGGCGTGCTGCACCAGCGCCTACTACGTTTTCTTAATGCCCGCGCACCGAAATGAAGGTGGAGGTTGCAAAAATAAGAATTCTAGGGCCATTCCGTACGATTGTGAGCGGCCTGTCCTTCTCCCACCCCTCGTTTGGCGTGTCCGTTGTATTTATTTTATTTATAGCGCAGCCGCTCATAGTGCATCCAACAAGATGTAGGATTAGCGCTCGCAATCGGAGGCATGTTGCTAGGATTGTGAGCCGTGCTGCTCGCAAGCTCGCAACAGACCTAGACTTTGCTCGGATTGCGAGCGCGCTGGTACTCGAGTAGTAGTCGTAGGCGTCACCAGTAAGCTGAGCGGAGCTGCTCTTAGTTCTAGAAGATGTACCTTAAGGTAGTTGCGAGGAATGCTGCTCACAATCCTTCGACTTCCAGGATTGAGAGCGAGGCTGCTCTCACTCAATCCTAGCCTTCTACAAACGAGAAGGTTCACCCCCACTCCGCTGCGCTCCGACCCGATTTTGAGGGCCATGGGGAAATTTAAGGTGTTGCTGCGCAAACAAAAGGGGCGGCGCGCGGGCGCGCGCGGCGGGCGCCGAGAGTCCGTTTTTGGAGACCAGACCTTTCGGATGGTTCATGCTTTCTATGTCTATCTATCATGCTTCATGACAACAGCTGCAAAAGGTACACGGCGGCTTTTGCTGGTGCATGCACAGGCCCGACGGAGGAAGGGTGTGCCTCGACACCGCTCGACACCGCTCGACGCCAGACCCATTTTGGAGTCACAGAGTTAGAAAATCAGAGTTGCAGCAGCAGTCTCAAACTTGGCTGGCAGTACTTTCATCCCTCAGTTGCAGCCTCAGCCTCTCAGTTGCAGCTCAGTTGCTCCCCTGGTGATGTAGCAACCATGGCAGTGCTCAGGTAGCCCTCAGGTGCTGCACAGGTCAGCACCTTGTACAGTGGCAATGAATCCTCACACCAGTGAGGCAGCGTGTGCCATGAGTGCGGACCTGTGGTCCATTGCGCTTTGTGCACTGGCGACGCTGCCCAACGGCGACGCTGCAGCGGCGGTGACGCTGCTGCGATGGGTACGGTAGCCCGTAGCTGCTGGACAGCACCTTGTGCAGTGGCAATATCTAGGGTCAGGTTAGAATACTTTCCACAGCGCACAGGTGGGAGCCATCTGTAAAATTCTCCGTGTTTTAGTGCGCGCCAGTCCCGTGCCCAGTGTTGTGCGAGGGAGTTGGCTTGTTTGTATGTGTATCGCGCACCTTTGGGGGGGGGGGGCGGAAAAGAGCTAAGAGGAACCTCTTAGTTAGCGCCATCGCCATGGTGCATGGTGCTGCAAGCAGCGCCGGGCGACGACCACTTCGACGACCGACTTACCGCCTCCCGGCCCCCCTCTCCACACCTCCGCTGCTTAATGTTTGTTTGACGACTCGAACCCGTGAAGCGCTTCCCCGATCCCCGTCCGCGGGTTTACCCCGCACACGGCTCACGGGTCAGCCTGCCACAGCCACGTATAAATAAAAGGAAAAAAGACAAACCGAAAAGGGTCTCCAGCCATAAATAAATAAATAGAGCAGCCAACCCCTGGTGGGGTCTCCAGCCACGTATTCACGCAAGCGCCGATAAAATTCTTCCCGTGCCGCCGTGCCTAGTAAAGAAAGAAAGAAAGAAACCACAGACCCCAAGGGAGGGATGGGAGGACGGCACGAGTGTAGTGCTAGCCGTCGCCCACCCTAAAAAAGAAAGAAAGAAAACAGGGAACCCAATCCCTTGGGCCGGCGGAAATTCTTTCCAGCCGGGCGCTTCCACACCCTCCTCGACACACCCACTTCGAGCAGCACCCATGACGGCGGGTTCGACGTGGACGTTCGTGAACGGCGTCAAGGTGACGCAGGTCCCAGGCGAGGCGCCCGCGAGCCGCAGCGCGCCGCCCGTGCTGCTGCCGGCGAAGCACACGCCGATCATGGCGACGGGCATCTCGGCGCCAAAGCTCGAGCTGTCCGGCCAGCACGCGGCGGGACATTCGGGGCTGCCGCCGCCGCCGCCGGGCACAGTCTTCCTCTCGAGCATCCCGGAGGCGCTCGACGACGCCCAGCTTCTCCAGCTCATCTGCACCTTTGGCGACGCGACGTCGCTGCAGCGCGCGGTGACGTTTGCGACCTTCACGTACAGCGAGGGGGACGAGATGGGGCAGACGGCCATCTACGCGCTCAACGGGCTCGAGCTCGGCGGCGCGAGCCTCGCCGCGCGCAAGGCCACCGCGCAGGACCTAGCCGCCCTCCGGGGGTCGGCGGAGCTGCGCGATGAGGCAAACAGACAGAGCTCTGCTTCCCTGCCGCCTCTCCCCGCCGCCGCCGCCTCCACTCTCCCCACCGCACCCTCTGCCGTCGTCTCCTCGCCGCCGCCTCCCGCCCCGCCGCCTCCACTCACCGCCGCCTCCCCTCAACCACCGCCTCCCTCACCGCCGCCTCCCCTCACCGCCGCCTCCCCTCAACCGCCACCTCCCTCACCGCCGCCTCGCAGGCGCCCAAGCCGCCGGCAAACGGCGGCGGCGCGGAGGGTGCGCCCAAGCCCTGGGTCGTCGAGCTGCGCGGCGTGGTGGGCGACGACACCGACGCCGACATCGCCGAGCAGGACGTACACAATGAGTGCTCCCCGTCATGCCCTTCTCCGAGGAGGGGGATCGCCCGAGATCACCCGAGATTACCCGAGATTAGGTGCTCCGACCTCGGGGACGTCTCTGCGGTCTCACCCCCCCCCCCCAGATGCGGAAGACGACACAGCGATGCCTTCGAGCAAGCTCGCGTTCCATTCGGCCGTATGCGACTGCATCGCCGCCACACCTCACTGCGCAGGAGTAGCGCAGGAGTAGCCTCTCTCCTTTGCGCGAGGCTGGCCTGCTCACGCTCTAGGTGCGGTACGCCGACGGCGCCTTTTTCGTCGAGCTGGCGGACAAGCCTAGAAGCGGAATACGTGTTCTTGTATTCCGGCCAACGCTCGAGGACGCGTCTTCACTGTATTCGACCGTATTCAGCTGTATTCGTCTCCCTCCCCTTACACGATGCTCTCCTCTGCACAATACCGCCTTCCCCGCCTTCCCGCCCTGAGGTTGGTGTATTCACCCTGTAGGCGGACAAGGCGGACGCCGACCGGGTGTGCAAGGCACTTGGCGGGCGAAAGTACCTCGGCCGCACCGTGCAGGCCAAGCTGCTGCCGCAGGATGAGAAGTAGAGCACTCTCGCGCGCGGTCGACGTCGGCTGAAGGGAGCGAGATCGCACGACCCGGTTAGCGCCCAGCGAGCGCCGTGATTGTGTGCGATACGATCCGCGGCACACACCGAGAGCGAGACGCGAGAGATGCTACAACTTGCAGTACGTTATAAGATATAAGAAGCTATTTCTTGGGACTCGCTCTGCTACTATTTTTTTGCGCCGATGCAGCGAGAGTCAGCTCACGAGGGCGGTGCCAGACCCGGCGGTGATTGCAGCGGCAGAGCGTGCGGCAGCGGTGCTTGCGGCAGCGGCGCCTGCGGCAGCGGCGCTTGCGGCTGCGGTGCTTGCGGCTGCGGTGCTTGCGGCAGCGGCGCCTGCTGTGGCGGCGGTTGCTGCTGCTGTGGCGGCGGCTGATGCTGTGGCGGCGGCGGCTGCTGTGGCGGCGGCGGCGGCTGCTGTGGCGGCGGCTGCGGCTGCGGCTGCGGCTGCGGCGGCTGCGGCGCCGGCTGTGGAGGCTTCAGCTGAGGCGGCTGCAGCGGCGGCAGTTGCTGGGTGGGCGGCGGCGGCGGCGGCGGCTGAGGCGCGTCGCGCTGCCTCATCTGCAGCAGCAGCTGTTGCCGCAACGCGCGCACTGCCGGGCCGGACGTAACCGCTGAGGGCGGCAGTGCGGCGATCTCAGCGGCAAGCCCCACGCGAACCCTCTTGACGCAGGCTTGCTCTGCCTCGGTGGCGGGCGGGTCCGCGCGAGACCGCTTCGACACGAACGCCGCGAGCGCCGCGAGGTCCGCCGGCAAGTCGTCTCGAGCGGCGCCGGCAGCGGCAGCGCCCGGCGGCGCCACCGAGTCGGCTCTCGACATATAGAGCGAAAAGAATTTAAACCCCGAATTTTACAAGAAAACTCAAACAAAAGAAGTTTACAACGCCTGGCCATGCAACACTAGGCACGGGACTGGCGCGCACTGGCACTAACACAGGTACACCACGGGAGCGAAAAGAATTATAACATATTCTCGCACGACACTCGGCACAGGTCAGTCTCAACAGTGTGCCTTTGAAACGTGCAAAGGAGCAGGCTCCCGCGGGGCAGCCGCGCCAGAAACAACCCCCGACATAAAACGAAAAGTCCCGTTTTGCTGTTCACAGACGAGCTTCTCCTTCTGCATAATTTATGCTGCTGAGCCCAGCCTGCCTCTCGCGCCTCAGGGTGCGTGGGTGCCGCACGCCGGTTAGTGCAGGCGCGGCTTTTTCTGTACGGTAAAGGTTTTCGGTATACATGTAGCCTCCCGGTGAATGGGCGGCTTCTCGCGGCGCCGCGCGCCGCGCCCGCCCCCGCGCGCCGCGGCGGGCCGGCGCCGGGGGCCGCCGGCCGCCGCGCGCGGGTGAGTGTTGACGCAGTTGTGTGTTTGAGCGCGGGGTGGGGTCTGGGGAGTGGCAGTGGGGTAGCGTCTGTAGAGACGAGTATGTCGGCCGACGCTGCCGTGTGTGTCGGTCTCTCGGTGGTGTGCGTGTGCGAAGAGAGAGATTTTTAGCAATACTCGTTTGTTGTGTTCGTGTGCGTGTGCGCGTGCACAACCGGGTCCAACCCGAGAGATATTTTCTTTTCTTGTCGGCGAACGGACGTACGGTATCTTGCAGAAGGCGGCGCGAGATTGCGGCGGGATCACTCGCGGACCAACCCAATACCTCGGTAGTGTGAGGCCGACCCAAGGGGAACTAAAAGTCAAGGCCGAGACACTCAAGACAGCCTCTTTCGCGATGATGCAGCCGTCTGTCGCGCCTCCAACCAAGGCGTACCTCCTCGAGAAGAAGAGCGGCGGGATCGCCGAGATCAAGCACCGCGGCCTCAAGGAGAAGATCCCCGTCATCAAGCACCTTGGCGGCGGCGGCGGCGACGACGACGACTTGAATGGCAGGGCACCGATTCGCGCCGTCCTCCAGAAGGTGGACGTCGGGCTCAAGAAGATCACGGGCTCGATTACCGATTTGCTCGGTGACGACCTCGGCGGCTTGCTCGACAACCTCCTCAAAAAGGTCTATTCGTTCGTCAAGAACAACGCGCTCGAGCTGGTCAAGACTCTCCTTCGGGAGCTGGCCCACTGCGGTGGCCTCTTTGAGTCGCTCGAGGCGTGTGCTATCCTCGCGCCGACCCCACGCCGTCTCGGCCGCTGACCCCCCCTTTTCGCGCCGCCGCCTCCGCCCCACCCCGTTCCTCTGCCAAATCTCCCGGGCGCGCGCAGCCGCGAGCAAAGCTTCACACGAGACGCCTCCTCGCAGGGCTTCCTCCACCGCATCGCCGGCAAGGTCAACCGCACCATCGAGCAGGTCCTCCGCGCCATCAAGGGCCTCCTCAGCGGCGAGCCGGTGCCGCCGGACGACCAGCAGGCATGCACACATATGCGCCGCAGACCGCCGACTCGTGTGCACTCGCACCGCCCGCAGAGCTGCTCCCCAGCGCTCCCCCGCTTGCGCCCCTGCGCCCCTCCCACGCCCCCTCCTCCGCGTGGCAGATCCTCGACGCCATCCAGGAGGACTCGGAAGGGCTCCTGCAGGGCATCCGGGCGAGCGACCCCCCCCTCCCCCCCCGCCTCTTCCTCCCTCGCCCTGCTGCCCCGTCCCCTAAGCCACACCCACCCAACCCTTTCTCCCCGCAGGGCGGCATCGAGAGACTCCTTGGGAGGCTGCTCCCCCACGAGCTCTTTGGAAAGGTCAGACTCGCGCCCCCCTCCCCCGCGTGGCAACCCACGCCGGAACTGCCCTCACATCCCCCCGCCGCTGCCGCCGCCCTCTCGCCGCCGCCCTCGCCCCCGCCCTCGCCCCGCCATCGTCCCCGCCCCCGCCCCCGCCCCGCCGCCGTCCAAAGCCCCGCCGCCGTCCGGCAGCCGCCGCCCTCGCCCTTGCCTCCAGCCGCGCCGCCCCCGCGTCGACCCGCCCCCGTCCTGCACCACATGCCCTTGTGACCCGTCTTCTCCCCTCGCGCTCTCCACAGATCCGGGGGATGCTCAACAGAATCTTCCGCACCGACGACGCGGCGGATGGGAAGACAGCCCTCGACGGCATCTTCAATGGCTCCCTCCGCAAGCTCTTCAAGAAGCTCAACAAGTTCATCTCGTCCATCTTCGAGACGGTGCATACACAGCCGTCCATGCGCGGCCGTCGCAGACCCTCAGAGATCCCTTGCCCCCTACCTCGCCACCAACCCTGTCGCAGCCGCCCATCCCACTACCGCCTTTCCCGCCCCCACCGTCAGCCCCGCCCATCTAACCCTTCCTCGATGACGGTCGCAGCTGAACGACTTGCTCGCCAACCTCAACTCGCTCGTCGTCGGCACCCTCCAGAAGACGGGCGAGCTCGACAAGAACGTCTTCGAGGGCAGGGTCTTCAGCAGCATCAAGTCGCTCGTCCTCTACGTGCTCGGCGACACGCTCGGCTTCGTCAAGAACACGCTCAACCGGGTGGGCGGGTTCCTCAAGCGGCTCTCTGCCAACGAGGCGGCGGAGCCGGATGGCATCACCTGTAACTCGGGCTGCGGCGGCATCGGCGGCCTCATCGACCGGGTGCTTGGGCGGGTGCTCGGCCTCACCGGCAACATCCTCGAGGGCGTCTTCAAGATCGGCGAGGCGATCGAGAAGCTGCTCGGCGGAGCCATTGGCAACCTGCTAGAGCACTTCAAGAGCGGCTTCATCGGCGGGCTCGAGACGCTGCGCGGCATCATCAAGGGGCTCCTCTGCGGCTGGCTGCCCTGCATCCTGAGCAGCATCGACGCTTTCCTCTCCGAGGTACCCCCCCCCCCCCCCTCTCGGGCCGCCGTCGACACCCCACCGCGCGCTGGCATAGCACTGATGGCTCATCCACCCTCCCGCCCACCTCCCGCCCACAGATCGCCGGCACGATCGGATGCGGCCTCGAGAAGGTGAAGAAGGGCCTGCGAGCCATCCTCCGCGGCGACGATGACGACCCCGACGCCAAGGGCGTCCTCGGCCACGCTGGGGGATTCATCCGGTCCATCATCGGCCAGGTCGGCGACGTCCTCGACGGCATCCTGCCCGGCATCCGCGGCCGCGTCAAGGGTCTGCTCGAGAAGGTCTTCGGCACCGACGAGACCGCGGGCCTGCTGCGGACCATCTTCGGGCTCGTCCGCGAGCTGGTCGGATTCGGCGACAAGCTGACCGAGCACATCCTCAGCGCGGTGACCGACGCCCTCGCCCAGGATGGCATCGACATCGATCTCCTCGGCAAGACGGGCGAGCCCTCTCTTTGCGCCCTTAGATTGCATGGAGAGGGACATTCGGAACGCCTCCTGGTCACGTCCCATAGGCGCTCTGCTGGGCCAGGTCAATGGCGCTGTCGGAGACCTGCTCGGAGACCTCTTCGGGGCGCTCTCCCCGATCGCCGAGAAGATCGGAGGCTTCCTCGGCGGCATCGACGACGCCGTCGTCGGGCTCGTCGAGCGCGTCGTCACGCGGGTGGGCGGCATCGTCCACGGCCT